GCCGGTTTCGCCCTTCAAGAGCGGCTAATCTGCATTTGAGTTTGGCCACTTCAGCTTCGATTTGCTCGTAACGTGACCGCCTGATTAGTGTACGATAGTCGATGTGCGCTGCCACAGCAGGAAGGCACTTTTCATGTACAGCAGTCATGGCTTTAGTCATTTTTGTAGATGGTTCTCAGTCAAGTGCAGATTGTCTGTTGTGGACTTCACAATGGTTGCGCCGAATGAATACAAACGGTAGCCATGGAAACTGGGCACTGCACCACTACCTGCACTGTGTTCCTCCCAGAGATGCTCTTTCCCCGGCATGCCCACTTAGTTTAGCGGAACAGTAAAAACAGATAAAGTAGAAAGAGCCAATGTACTTTGTATTTCATAAGAAAGGGCGCCCTCACAGATGGACATCAGTAAAACTGATGGCCTCTGTGAAAACCTTTTGGGTGGTACAGGATTGACCGCTGGTGGTGTGATGTTTTAGAAGTGTTCTTGATGGTAGAACAAAGTTTAGGATAGGATTGCAAAATAGTATAACCCAAGATAGAGTGGTATTTCCNGCCACTGGTGGTGTGGTGTTTTAGAAGTGTTCGTGATGGTGGAACAAAGTTTAGGATAGGATTGCAAAATAGTATAACCCAAGATAGAGTGGTATTTCCCGGAGTGATGTAAACAAGTAGTGCGGGTGTTGGTGTTCGTACAACTGTAGGATGTTACACACCTGTGGAACTCACTTAATCTGCAGCATGTTCCTAAAACATTAGGTATTACGTTAGGTATTACGATAGTAGGTGTTATTATTAGGTGTGAGTTGGTTGTGGTGAAAGTGAGTGTTGCTTGTTCTGAACTTCAAACAAAGTGTGCTCCTTCGAGGGATCGGTGATTCATGCGAAAAACACTCGAACCAGAGAGAGAAAGAGACACTGCTGCTTAATGGATGGTGGCTGAAAGCAGTTCGATGGACACAATGGTGCACACCATTGATGGCACTATTGTGGAATTTTGATTGTAGAAGCTGTAGTTGGTGTAGTACTTGATGTAGTGTTGGAGTTGGTGGTGGTGGTGGTGGTAGTGGTGTTGCTACAATATAAGAGAGAGAAGGGAAGATATTTCCGAAAGATGTTGAAAGATGCAGAATAGACTGGTGGTAAGTGTAAGTGTGTTAATGTGTGGATGTTGTGGAGAGAGAAGGAGAGAAAGTTGGCCAATGCAAACTGTGTCATTCCCTTAACTATAGAATATATATTCGTGGCCGAGGATTACAAGATCAAGGTAAAGTCGTCTATTCTGCTGAGGTGTCGCCCTTGGAGGGGCATTGCTCTTCCACAGCCACCTACTGCGGCTCG